GCGGGGTGCGTGTGTTCCCTGTGTGGGACTGAGGGGGGCAGGGGAGGGTCTGTGAGGAGGCAGGGAGTTGGCCCCGGTCCTCTGAGGAGAGCCCCTCGCTGACAGTGGAGACGGGGGAGAGGATGGCCTTGTCCATGTCCATATGCTGGCAGAGGCTGCAGGGTGCAGCAAAAACTAATTTTGGGAGGGCGAAGGCTGCACCCCTCTTGGAGGGCTTCCCCTGAGGGGGTGTGCTGGCTTCCCCCCACCCCTCGCACCTCAGCACCAGCAGGGCCTGGCAGAGCCTGGGGAAGCCCTGTGCTGGTAAGGTTGGGCTTGTTCCTCGGTGGGCATTGCTCTTGGAAACCTGGCCAGGGGTCTGTTCCTGAGTGCCCTGCACAGAAGAGACCTCGCTCGTTTCAGCAAGAGGAAAATGTTCAGATATTTTAGCACCAGTGTAAGTACTGCAGAGCTGACATCTTTGTTGCAGAGGGGTTTTTTTCAGCTTTTTCTAGCAAGTCTCTCCTGGACTTCTAGAGAGCTGTCAGCATTTCTTTAGCATTGGTGTGATGTTAGCATTGTGTGTAGTCAAGGATGTAAGGCTTTTGCCATCTAGGTATTTTCATTGCTTTTATACCTCTCCTGCTGCTTGAGAGGACACGCAGACAAAATTACCTGACTTCTTAATACAATGGCTGAAGACGTAAAAGAAATATTTACTGTGGTATGAATGATTGTACTTAAGCAATTAAGTCAATGATACAGAAATACATGCCCGTTGCATGCACAAAGTACCCTCAAAAATATATTTTCATCAATAAAAAGAAATCATATAAATACTAAATGTCAGTGCTAGTTGTACAGTTCAAGTGCATATCATGTGACTGTTTGCTGCCACTGATTTTTGTTCTCTTCTTTCAACTTCAGGAAACTGAGTGTAAAACCCATAACAAATCCTCAGTATTTGGATAATATGGGGAATCCAGCCATTAATGGATTGTACGACTTGGCTTTGGGACCTCCAGACTCCAAAGAAGTGTGTGCAACTTGCATGCAGAACTTCAGCAACTGCCCTGGTCATTTTGGCCATATAGAACTGCCTCTGACTGTCTACAACCCCCTGTTTTTTGATGTACGTATGCTTAATTATTGTCTTGCTGGTGAAATGGGTGATGGTGCTCAAGCTGTCGTACAGTTTGTCGTCCTTCAAAATAGTAAAGGTGCCAAGATCTGTTTTCTCTCTTAAGTTTAAGTGTAATAATAGCAAATGTAGTAGAAAAGGTTTGCTGTGTCATGATAGTTTAATACAAATACACTACTTAGATTTTTGTAACATATACACTTTCTTGTGACTATTTTATTCAATATTAACAAAAAAGAGAGAGGGAATGTTGATCACTAAACTATATGACCAGCTGCAGAGTCTCATGCCTTAATTAAATGGATGGCACAGTAAAAACTATTAGTTGTTTCCTTTAAACTGCTCTTACATACTTACATGAACAGCCACCTACTTTTATCCTAGGATCTCCAAGTGCTTCCTGGACATTCAGGGCTTATTTGAGCTCCAAATAGCTGTGTTTTTACATTCTGCCCAGTACGTCCTCTTATTCCAGAATAATTTATTCTGGAAAACTGGATCAATGTGGTTAAGATCCAGTAACCTAGCCAGCAGTATAATGAGTGACGTAACGCTTATGACAAGTAAATGGAAGAATGTAGTGTTCTAAGTTTGGTGGCAGCAGGGAGTTGAAAAATGCTAAACAATATAGAAATCCATCAGTTTTCATAATTAGATTTCTTGCATCTGGAAGTCAGACATGTGCTTCCCATAGCTTTACAACCGTTGAATGTACATGATATGTGGGCTACCTAATGTCAAGTGGAGATTTGACTTGGTGTGCATCTTTCAGGGCAGGTGTTCCAAGCTTGCTTTGAAAGCTACTCATGATGGGCAGGCTGCGTATTTCTCAGGGCTTCATGTGGGTGTTTTTTCAAAGGGCCATCTTTTATATTTGAAAGAATTCCTGGCAGTAAGGGTAGGATTTGTCTTATTTTGATCTTCTGAAAGTTAGATGTATAATGTGATTAGTACTTTTTAGCCCTTTCAGGAGGCTGAGGGGCAGGGCTGTTTGCAGAGGAAGATTCATCTAGCCTATAACAGGAACCTGAGCAGGGACAAATTTCCCTCCTGAGGTGCTAGTCTTGTTTACAGTAGCTGGCTCCTGCATAGGCTACTAATTGAGACTAAAAACTTCACTTGTAGATGACTGAAGTTAGATGAGGTCCATCCCACTTCTAGTCTTGTCCCAGCTTTGAAGTAAAATACTTCTGTTTGATCAAGGAGTGAAACCAGGGAGCAGTAATTCCTAGCCTTCAGGTGACTGGTGCTGTGTGCAATGAGAAAGAGTTGTGTGCAGAGCTGTGCTGAATAATAAAAAATGCTGATATTTTCCTGAAGCTTGAGGAGAACGTGGTTGAATGAAGAATCTTGAGGGACGTTGATAGGACTTTCATTTTACTCCTGTGGAATTTTGGGTACCACATTGTCCTTCATGGGACAAGTTGTTAGAAGCTGTAATCACAGTGTAAGAGCAGCCTTGGTCCCAGAGTTGCTGTAGATATGACAGGTTTTTCCTCTTGAACCCTGTATCTGTTATGTAGATGGCCTGCAGATAGTTTGTCTACAGATCATGCTTTCCTTATGATTTTGTGTGGTGAAAGAAATTTTTTTTTCAGTCCAGTTCTTTAAGATTAAAATTAACAATTAATCTAATTTCTCAATTATAGTAGCACTTTCTTTAAGTTCAAACAAGTCTGTCTACTTCCTTACCATGCAAGCTAGTAAACCTACCAGGATAACCTTTTTATTTCCCCCCTTTTATTTCCCAGAAATTATACCTTCTAATTCGAGGTTCTTGTTTGAACTGTCACATGCTGACATGTACTCGAGCTGTGGTTCACTTACTGCTAAGTCAGCTGAAGGTTCTGGAGAAAGGGTTGCTTCATGCCGTCCATGATCTTGAAGTCATTCTGAACAGGGCAAGTATTGTGTATTTCTCCATTCCTTTTTGAGATGATAGTCCTGTAACTACAGAGCTATCCCAATTTCTTTTATTCTGTTTCTTTTAGTTTTTAGAGCAATGTGCAGATGCAACAGGTTCAGAAATTGAAGAAGAGTTAAATCGCCATGTTCAGGAAATACTCCAAAGTCATCAAATAAGAGATGAGTGTTCGAATGTAAGTACAATCAGTGCTTCTCCTGAGATCTCAGGTTTTGTCCTCCTAAAATAGTAGCATGCAGAAGAAAGTCTGTCCTTGACTCTGTAGGCTCTAGATTTTGTCCTAGAGTTCTGAACTGCATTGTATTTAGAGGGTTTTCTGGGTGAAATGTCTGAAATTAAGCTTAAAAAGATTTTATTTCCTGTTAGTATAACTATTAGTTTTCTGGAAAATATACTTTGTGTA